ATTCAGGCTACTTACTCAACATCCATAGCTAGATGGATTATTTTTAATATCACTGCGATTGTTAGACGTTGAACTTCGTACTCCGAAAACGCTCGAATAATTCCAATCTATAATTATCGAAAGGGGCAAAGGCTTCGATTTAATTCCGGTTCAAAGTGCTTGATACTTTTAGAAAGGGTTCTTCCGAATTATGAACGGAGACAAAGAGATTTAAAGTTTGAAGTAGCGGGCTGCGATCGATTGGGCATGAAACGAGGCAAAGTTTGCGGATCCAAATGTATTGGTGGATCTGAATGTGTGTACTCTAGAAATGATGTTGACCGTATGGTTCCGGGAAAAGTCGTGGAGCGTAGAATTTCATTGGAGAGTCATCATCTTCTGGTCTCCCGCTTTTCGTTTAACTTTTTAACAAGGTATGTAACTGGAGGAAAATCGTTATGGTTGCGTGCTTTGACAACTTAGGATAACTTCGCAATGTGACTTAAGTAAAATTTGACAAGAAATTTGGATGATTTAAAAAATAGCTGAAAATGAATAAAAAGAAATAAAAAATAAGAAATGGAATGGATGTATGTAACATGACTCCGATAAAAGCTTAATAGTTCTTTAATTCAACTTTTCGTTTATGTGTGTCAATGTGTTCTTTCATAATCTAAGGATACTAACCATAATTTTTAAATATCAATACTATTAAACAGTTAACGCATATTTTCAAAGAGCGGAAAGTACATTTTGTACACAATCATGATTTTTATAATAATCCGTTTTAGAATTTTGCAATAAAGAAAAATACATATAATATTGAAAATTTAAGATTATTAAAATATGTTAATGTATACATTTTTAATAGAATTTAGCGATATACACATTGTGAGCATATTCTAAAGACTTTTTACTTATAAAACATTGTGAAATTGTAACATAAGATAATAAATTTAATATCGTTTGTACAATCGTAATACAATACTCACAAATTTCTTCTTCTTGCTTTCATAGTTTCATAAAATGTTTAATTCTTTTCCGGTGGATGTTTTTAAGATGTAAGAACTTAAAGAAAGACCAACTCTCTTCTCCGGATATAAAAACTTTGTAAGTGATTAATATTAACACGTTCTGGTTTGGCTGCTCCGATAACTTAAGATTCTGACTAAATATATTCGTAATGATTTTTCAAAACATCAAATCACATATCTTCGGCAATTTGACGAAATTGTAAGAATAATATGCAGTTAAAGCGCAAAGTGTTAACATTAGAAACATTACCAACGACAGTCCATTTCTTCCTTTCGCGAGCCCTGACGATCGTTAAGAATTACAAATCCGCCATGGTAAGCCGCTCGGTAATCTTCCGACGTCGTTTAACGCCATATTCCGCGTAATACATATACATATACATATATCTGTACGTGTGCGTGCGCGAAATCGCAGTCAGGGGTGAGAGGGCGGCATTTTGCCGGCGCGACACGGTGCGCCAACACAGACGGATAATATCGTAGGCGGGAACGAATTTTCGTGGAAAGAGGAAAGCGCGTCGATTACGTGGACCGGGTGTGAGTGCGTTGGAGGTTTCGGGGTTGTCAGCGAGCGGATGATTGCGCGCCTGCGGCGTCACGGAGCTTCGCGATGCGCCGAGTACCACGTACATAATGTATAGCGCGTATTCCGAGTGGTCACCTACATCTTATGGGCTCTTCACAACGTTTTTCGAGGCTCGGCGCCGCGATTTCAACGTTCATCGGACATGAGCGGCTGTTCTAGTTATACTTTCACGTTTATAAAGCGTTTATAAAACGATACGGTTTTTCTGAGAATATATTATAGATACTTCGACTAATTATGCATCATCATCTAAGCACTTTTACACTATTAAGGGCTGAGTTTTATATACCACAATTTCTTTTTTTTCTAATTGTTTTTAAAGAATTTGATTTCTCGAACGAAATAAATTCAGCTCTTTGTGTCGTTATTTAATTTCATATTCTCATTTAATATTTATATATATCGAATAATTTACATGTTAGACAAACTGGTTCAAGATCTGGCTATTACGCCATTTGATATAAAATATGTGGTGAAAATAAATTTTATTTCCGTGTACTAGATGGGTTTTCGAAAAATATACATATATTATTTGACGAAAGCATCGAACGATAAACTCATTTAATTCTTCAAGATTATGTGCTAAATTTTTAAGTAAATGTAACAAAGGTATATTATATTGTTGCGTACAGATAAGTTATTCAAAATTTTTATGTGCACAAAACTCTGAGAATGTAATCAGTAGTAACGCACCGCGTGGTGTCAGACATTTGAAAAAGTTAGTAGAACAGTCTTGACTTGGTCAGCCGCGACCAGACTTTTGTTATTAATAATCTGAATAGAATACATGATTTCGTTACAAAAAAATATATTTTTCTGTGTATCTATATATTAACATTAATTATATCTACAATTCTTTACATTTTCTTATAAACCCCGCGATTCATAGATTCAATAATTAATATCCGTAGATCAAAAAGTATTTACAAAAAAATTTAGAGGAGAATATGTGCAGTTAACATCAAAACAGTTTAATTATTTTCTTTAATAGTAACTTTTATAGATACAGATTTATAGATACGTAAAGTGGATAAATGATTTATTAAAGTTTTATTATAACACTTTATTTTAGCAAATATTTCGACGAATACTGTCATCGCCATTGAATTATTATGCGTATATTATATGTAGGAAAAAGAAAAGCCGTGGAATTAAGTTATCTATACGAAACAAAGAGTGCAACGACGCCATTCTGCTGTCCTGGCTATACATCAGCAATTAATCACGGCGTCTAATTAACTCCGCCAACAAAGTACGAGTAATTTCGATACAGAGGCGGAGAGAACGACGTGGGAGAGCGTTAGCGTGTACAAGTGTGTTCGCGGATGAAGGTGGCGGCAAGAGGAAGCAGGCGGGGCGGGACGAGGAAGACCTGGTGTTTCAACCCCCGTGTGGAGTCTCCTTAACGTTAGGAAGCTCTGCCACTAATTGAATCTCCTCTCTTACTCGCGTCTGGAGCCTCGACAACCGCTGGGAACCGGAGCACCCGTCCTGCATTAAACACCCCCGACACCCTGAGCACCCTCATCCCTGCCAAGCGGTCTCGTATCGCCCCCTCCCTCCCTCCCTCCCCCCTCCCACCCTCTCTCCCTTCCACCCTGCCGCGAGTCCCATCCCATCCACCTTTTCTCTTTCCATCTCGCCGCTACCTCTCTCCACCTTCGCATAGAATCCAGCCCCCGCTAAGCGTCCCAGAAAACGAGCCTCCACCGCTGGTTATATCGCCGTCGATGGCGAGGAACATCGACCCGTGTACACCTAGCCCGTCCATGTAACTTCCGCGCGGAAGATCAAGCTCGCTCATTTCTAAATATCGTCGCTGAACCGAGAAATAACTCGGATACATTAACATAATTCGCTTGTGTTTTCCGTTTCGCCTATATAAATGATTTATACGCCTTCAAGTAGCCATTAAGAGAACGTGGTTAGCTTCTATCGAAGCTGATAATTATTGTTTGATGCTTCAAAATGCTATTACAAATTTTTTAAATATTACTCTTGGAAAAATGATAGTGCACGAATTTTGCTACTCTATGATTTCTCTCTTTTCCTTCTTTATTTATTCATTTTGGAATAGTTTGGAAAAAGACAAAAAGTGTAAATAATCTGTTGCACAGAATGAATAGAATTTATTTAAAAAATCCGTCTATAAAAAGAGAGCTCGCGAAAAGGAAAATAAGCAGTTTAAAGGATTCGGAGTTTTAAAACATTTCATTTTGTGCAGTGTGTGTGTGTTTGTCCCCATTTTAGATTCTATTTCAAAAGATTCCGTTTTGTGCCCGAATAAATACAAGTTAATATATTAAATGTCAAAAGTGCTTGCCCTAAGAAACGTGACGTCGATCAAATGAGACGTCACCGAAAAATCGAAACGTCGCATGACAGTGCGGATCCATTTATGGCACCTTCACGGTTAGTAAGCCCACACTCGAGTTTCCCATATAATATTGCGTAACACAAACAAAATAATATTCAATCCGAGATGACGCATTAACACCTGAAATTTTTGCCACAGCATTGGCATCTTGTTCATTGGTATCGATTCCGTCACGCCAGCTTTCCACTGATAATGCGTGAACTGTTCGGCCGCGGTCAACGCTTTGTTCGCGGAGGTTTATTTAGGAGAGTCTGGTTGACCACCGATAGTTACAGTCGATTTCTTCGCGGTTTATTTGCGGTCTTTCGCGAAAATACGGGAGACTCGATGAAACGATTTCCGCAGTCATTCGTAGTTGACAAATATATTCTTATGTCAACAGTATGGCGCATTGAGATATATCTCGAAAGATAAACTACGAATCTTGAAGAAAATCTTATGTATTTGTATACGTAAAATACCAGACAAAAAATATCAAATATGAAAATATAAAATACCAGAAATTTAAATTATATTCTAAATAATATCCCTTATTGAAAAATAGGGGAGTACATGAAATTTAGAAAAAATAGTCAATTTAATGGCTTTTAAAATATATCAAGATATAAATCTTGACAAAATTTTCGGAAATGTAAACTTAAAAGGTAATGATTGTATTAAATAATATCAAGCTTGATTTATTCAATTTATTGAAGAAATGCCTCGAAAGATATATATAAGTTCTGGATAAAAAAACCTAGTAATTGTGAAGTGCATTCGTGATTTCGTTCCGCAACGGTCAAATAATTCATATTCTAATGATTGAATACTTCGTAATTAATAATATTTTTAGAAAAAATTATCGATACTAATTGTACTAAAATAAAAATTTAAATCGAGCAAAGTAATCAGCTATGTCTGGTAAATACAAGTTTAATATAGTCGAACAAATGCATAATCTTATAAAATAACACAAAAATAACTTGTCATATTGATCAATTCGTCATATTATATTGGTAACATTAATACCACTCGTAGAACTTACCGTCCTTGTTCATGTTAGCTTCGAAGCACTTAGCGAGACGACAAGCACGACATTGATTCCTATGGGTCTTGTCGATCGGACAACGTCCTTTCTTGGCACCCTGGGCTTTGCAGATGTACTCCCGATTGCTGTGTATACTTCGCTTGAAAAATCCCGAACAACCTGATAACAACAAAAAATTTGTCTAACGATATGACATAATAGATACTGATCATTCAATTCGAAAATTTGATCAATTTATCGTTAAGCTATTTTCAGATATCTATAACAACACGTTAATGAGAAAAATTTAATTAAGTTAATTGATATAAAAAGAAGCAAATTTACTCTTTTAATTTCTTTATATTTAATCTTTTTTAAGTGTCTTGATTAAAATTTTTACGAAGAAATTGAATCAGAGAGATATCATTATTCTCCTCTTGGTTTATTCTAACATTTAAGTTTAATATATCCTTTTGATTAATTCATCAAATAATTGTTCCTGCTACGCACATAATAAGCAAGTTTCGTAAAGAATATTGCGTAAAGATTTATCTTTTTTTTACAAATAATATATTATTAATTAATATTACCGTCGCAGCTGTAGATGCCGTAGTGTTTTCCAGAACTACGGTCACCGCATACATCACACAGTATGTCGAGTAATCTGTCTCCTGAAACAAAAATATACGTCGTACTTTACGAACTTTAATGAACTCTTTGAAGTCATTTTTTCAATCTGGTTACTCAGAAAATGTTTTGCGATAATTTTTTCCTTGTATATTTTCCATATCCTCGAAGCAAATAATTATAGATAATAAAAATATTTTTCCAAACTTTGCATGTAATTCGAATCACGACAAAACGTACGATCACACATATCCATATGTAACTTATATTTAAAACTTGAATTAAATTTTATTAGATACAGGATCTTCTAAAAATTTAAAAGATTGTTTCAATCACTGTATAAATATTAGAGAGATTCAAAGCTAACATTATTTAATAGCTACGTCTATTACGACATCACAATAACTGTAATCACAATAACTGGACTAATATTATCAGATTTGTACTACAATATTTATTACGTATTACAATCAAATAATTATCAGGTAAAAAGAGACCGACGGTTAGAGGACTCTCGCGAAATCCCGTTTAAGAAAAGCGGGCGGGCCGCAAGAAGATCACTGGTGCTAATCTGTTTCCCCCTTTTCGTAGGAACCCTAATCGTCCTAATGATCCGCGGCAAGAAAAACACGGCCATGCCTAAGCCAACCAAAGCCTTCCTTCCCCGTCCTGGGGAATCAACCGCCTTCGCGTCTCACACCCAACCAACCTAACCCGATCAACCCGGGTTACTTCAACCCCAACGGATTACTACCTTCGTCGTGTACACCAACGTCTTCTTCTTGTTCTTCTATATCTCCTATGTCGCGTATCATATCGTCTATTGTTTATGATATGTAAATTAATCAAAGAAACTCAAACAGATAAGAACTCGATAAGAATCAAACCGTCGATTAGCTTTAACGGTAACTTAGCTAATTTTCTATTGTCTTAATTATTTTTAAATATTTCTTTCTTCCGCCTTAAATAAATAATAATTTCAAGAATAATTTCTACG